CAAACACGCTATATCCTATCACAATTTTTCCAGAATTCTGCTCGAAAAGCAAAGCTCTAAGCAGAATTTCACATTTGACAAAATACATCCTTCAAGATATTGTAATGTAGGAAACCTTTGTTCTGCTGAAACATAGAATTCTTGTGTAATTCTGCTAGAAAAGCAAAGTTCTAAGCAGAAATATTGGTTTCGACTGAGAGAGTGCTCATATGAACCACATGATTCTGCTGGAAAGATAGAATTCTAGTGTAATTCTGCTGGAAAAGCGAAATTCTAAGCAGAAGTATTAGTTTTGACTGAGAGAGTGCTCGTATGAACCTCATGATTCTGCCGAAAACATAGAATTCTGTCTACATTCTAGTGTAATTCTGCTGGAAAAACGAATTTCTTAGCAGTGTTGCATGCGTTGTGTAAGAATTACCTAAGAGTAGAAATTCAATTTTTTTAAACTGTTATAACAAAATTCTTGAATTCTGCTTATAAAGAATTTTGCCACTGCTGGAAAAGAATTGAAAGGTTTTAATTGAAAAACAGAATTTACATGAGTAAAAAGATAATGAAAAATAAGAATTGATCAAAAGATGAAAAAATCTGCTGTCATCACTAATAATAGGTCATTAGAATCATCAGGAATAGAGACAGGAAATGTTTTATTGATCAAACCGTGTTGAGGATCAAAAATATTAATAATTTGTATTCAAATAATTTTTCACTTAACAAAACAAAATTTCACTAAGCTATCGTATTCTTCTTCTTCAAATGAGAATCGGAACACAGTTGATTTATCTTTGTTCCCTTTTCTGAAAGAAAGGGTTATACAGCGGTTAAATACTGGGCTCAAAATGCTTAAAGTTTGTCTGTCATTCTGTCTGTCTGTGTCTGTCTGTCCAAGCCAATCAGATTGCAGCATTCAATAACTCATAGAAAACTTGATGATGGTCATACAGAAATGATTGACATTATGTAATCGGGGCCGAGGATCACGAATCCGTGATTAGTTTTTTGAAAAAACTTTTTGTTTCGTTTTTTTACAACAAAGGACCACTTTTTTGCGAAAAAAACTTTTTTTATAAGGGTTGACCGAAGGTAATCGGGGTCGAGGATCACGAATCCATGATTAGTTTTTGCTTTGTCACGAACTGTCGGATTCTTTCTCACTGTTTTCAAAAGAGATATTTTTCTGTATCTTCCGAAAATCTTTTGGAGAAGCTAGTGGCGGGAATGCTGCTGCTGGCTGTGGTGTGGACGAAGATGGTAGTTTAGGAGTTTACAGAAAAAGATTTAATACAGCGTACATCATGATGTTTCTAAGTCGAGAAATCAGAAAAGTGATATGAGGTTAATATCATTTTTGCGTTATAGGCTGCGATGCGTCAGGGTTTTTTATAGAAATTGAGTGAAAATATGTCGCAAAGTGATATAGCCGTCAGCGCAGTTTGATCTTATGAACTACAGATGGATGGATCATAGAAATGATCTTCCAAACATATGGAACACTATGACGGATGGTCTTGTCAGAGCAAATCATAAAATAAGACGTTTTATCTATTTTCTTTTGGTAGTCAAATGAATGAAAGATCACCACTTTTGAAGGGATATAAATGAAAGGAAGGGCAGTTATTCAAGTTGAAAATTACTTGAACGATGAGATTTATAAGAGTCTCAGGTAATGTCGATGATTTTTGAACGAACATAATTGATGTCTCTTCGGGCTTCGAGAATAAGTGCTGTAGATTATTAGCTCATGAAATTAAGGAGAGCAATAGAATATGTCCTGTAGATCGCACAGTTATGTTGGATTTTGATAACTTCGGTTGTAGACAGACTCAGTAAGAACGAGATACTATTTTACGTACATAAGCATATCATAAGAATGGACTATGTGCCAGCGACTAGCCGTGAGTGGCCGACCGGAGGGAGGCCGACGAGCGACTAGGCGTTGAAATTCCAGTTTAGTCTTAACGTGTACATTTGGAATAACCTTATTACACTTCAAAGATTTTTCAAACGGATTTGACGAATGTATATTTCTCAATGAAAATATTCCACAAAGTATCATTCTGTTGAAAGCAGCGAAAAGGATCAATTTTTCGCTAAAAGACAGGCTAATATATAAACTTTTCACGTAGTCTATTATATATCGTCAGTCTGTGAGCGACTTAGTAAAGCATCTATGAAAATTTTCATGCGAGTAATGTGAAAATAGAAAAACAGATGACAAAGGTCCATGGCTGGCCGTGAGTGGCTGACGAGCGAGTAGCCATTGAGGGATGGGGTTTTTCAGTCAACACAGTTAGTGCTCGAGAATTACTCACTCTCGAATGGCTAATTAGTTCCGTTCCTGAAAAAGAGCAACCTTTGTCTTCTATTCACTCTGGTGTGTAACATAGTGCCATGATTCAGTTGAGGACTAGTAGCAATGGCAGTGGTTTATTTGTCTTTCAAAGTGTCTGAATGTGTTCAGCAATAGGAAAATTCTTTCAGAAAAGGGTCAGCGAATCCAAAGGATGAGCGTTACTTGTGATTTAATAGAACAAAATCTGAGTTTTGTCGTTAGAAAAACATCTAAAGTACGAATTATTAATTAATATTCAGATATATTCATGTTTTTTTTGTACGATTGATTTCATTTGAGATAAGTTCTAGACGAATTATCTTCTTAAAAGGGAAATCTAACTTGTTCATTGATAAGCCAATGTAGTACAATGGCCTAAGTAAGTAGACTTCTAATTGAAAGGTCTTATGTTCTAGTCTGACTCGTTGAACCATCTAAATGTATGTATAAAAATTTAATAGATGGCTGCCAGGAGAGAATGATGGTGACGCAGGTCGAAGCTGCGAGAATAGAATGCTTTTTTTAGCAAATAAAACATAAACGCGTTTATGGTGTTAGATGTTTCATTTATGATGCGTTTAAAACGCGTCTCTAATGCGTTTATACTGAAGAAATTTCACATGAGATACGTAACAAAAGAACAAATATTAAGATAACGCTTAGATCTGGACTGACAAGTGAATTTTATAACGTTATCTATGTGACTTTTTCCAAGTTGGTAAAAAATACAAGGTTATTTCCCATATAGAAGGCCTTTTTATGTATATATATAAGCTTACGAGCATCGTCGATTATATTATATCGAAAACAAAAACTTTTATTCCCTCGACTGTAGAGAGGGTCATATGAAATAAAATAGTTTGTCTGTTTGTTTGTGTCAGGGTCAAAGGTCAAAGGTATAAAAAGAAAACATTTTTTCCTACAACCATTGAACACATTGAAAACTTCTAGTGTGCTAGTCTTAGAACGAGTGCGGATGAAGGGTGAAAGCGGGGGGCCTTGGGTGAAGCTATGGGTGGGTGTATGGGTGTGGGTGGGGGTCTTGGGTGAGACTATGGGT